TTTGGTCTAGTCAACAACTGCCCAGATGCAAACAACCTTGCCTATTTTTAGAAAAATATACGATCAACTAAGATCGTACACAATAAAAATACTACAAATATTCCACGGAAAAACTGAGAAAACGTAAAGTAAAATAAAATAATTATTTAACTCATAACACACCAAAGACCGATCTGCTATCTTAACAGCTAACAAAATACTGCAAGGTACTGTTATACAGAAGAAGGTGTAGAAGGTGAATTTATGGAATGATTATCGCAATTTGGAATGCAAAAAAGCAATCAGTAGCTCAAGTTAGTTATTTTCTTTAGCACCCTTTTTAGATGACCATGGCCTGATTCGCGTTGGTGGACGATTAAAAAACTCTAGCCTAAACTTTAATGCACAGCATCCAATTATATTTCCCGAGCATCATTCGGACACTGATTCCATCATTAATCATTTTTATCGCAAAATGCTGCATGCAGGTCCACAGTCTTTGCTTGCTTCAATGCGTCTTCAGTACTTGCCGATAGCAAGTAGAAAGCTAGTAAGAAAAGTCATCAACCAATGTATTATATGTTTTCAAACCAAACCAATAACTGCATGGCATATCATGGGACAATTACCTAAGGATCGTATTCATCCTACTCGTGCTTTCGTTTTTACTGGCATGGACTTTTGTAGTCCTTTCTATTACAAGGCCGAAACTCGTAATAAGTCTCCAATCAAATGTTATGTTTGCTTATTCATTTATTTTGCAACCAAAGCTGTCCACTTAGAATTAGTCAAGAATTTAACAACGTCAGCATTTCTAGCAGCATTACAACGTTTCATTTTAACTCGTGGCAAACCTAAAATTATTTGGTCAGATAATGCTACAAATTTTTGCGGGGCCAAAAATCAACTTGCTGAGCTATGAAGACTTTTCTTCTCTCAAAAACATCGCGAGCAACTACAACATCAATGTCTTAGCGACAGCATTAAATGGAAGTTCATACCTCCTGGATCGCAACATTTCGGTGGCCTGTGGGAAGCTGCCATAAAAACAGCGAAATGGCACTTCTGCCAAGCAATTGGTCTAACAATTTTAGATTTTGATGAACTACGCACACTGGTTTGTCAAATTGCTGCCATCATTAACTCTCGTCTGCTCTTCCCACTTTCAGAATTTCCCGAAGATCTCGATGTTCTCACACCTGCCCACTTTCTAATTGGTGCTCCATTGTCATCTATCATTGAGCCTGACATAACAATTTTGAATTTTAAACGACTTAATCACTGGCACCGGATTTCACACATACAACAAGTTTTTTGGAAACGTTGGAGCACTGAGGATCTTACATTGCTACAGGAGCGAATAAAATGGCGAAGCTCTTCTCCAAATGTGTCTCTCGGTGCAATAGTGCTTTTAAAGGATGATAATCTCCCACCACTGCGCTGGTTACTCGGTAGAGTTATTGAAATTATACCTGGTCTTGATGGTTTC